CGTTTGTCTTCTAGCGTTTCAGAAGAACAGACGACACGGATAGAAGTGCATATTTCGGATCATACTGTCAGTTGCTGGACTCCCAGGGAAATGTAAGCAAAGAAGTCTTGGCTTAGAGTCCTGATGGCAGAGAAACATCTTCCAACATCTCTTTCACTCACTCACTTACTCAGTTCATTTGGCAACAGTGAGAACACAACAAAGACTTTTATCTGTCTGTAATTTACTGCTTTTTACTTTCCTTATGTGAAAATGAATCAGGAATGTTTCCTGTTCTGTCTGTGATCCAGCAACAATTTACAGTGTGTACATTGGAGGGAAAGTCTTGTGCTTGATATGGGCCAGACATCTGACCAGAATTGACCCACAATTGATTAGTTGTCTGGGATGAATTATTATATCATAAAACTATACTGGTTGGGTTATTTGTCTATATATCACTAATTAATAATACGTTTGAATAAATTAGAAGGGTTAATGACTTCTGAAGAAACATCACAAGTAAATGCTTTTGACCAGTACAGATTTGCACAGAAGAACAAAATAAAATGATACAAAGAAATACAAAACAAATGCCATTCTTCAGAGAAAGAGGCATTTAACCCCATCTGATTGATGTTCTTGAACCAGAGAGACTTATAATAGTGTGTTTGTTGGTGGGAGAAAAGGAAAAAAATGACATAACTGGTCAAGATATTCAGTATTAAACTCTTAAACAGTTTCATTTTACCACTGAGTTGCCATTCTTTTCTGAACTTTTTTTCTAACTCACATGCACATGTATATGTTGCTTTTTGCCTATATTTTTTTCCATTTCTGTGTGATTCTACTTATCCATACATTTTCACCTTTTGATTACAATGTGTTTCTGCAGTAATTGTGTGTGGGATTTTAATTTCCAATCCATTTGGGTTAATCATATCTAAGCAGTATAGTCATTTTTAAACGATAGTTGAGTTAAATAAAACAGCAGCATGTTGTGTCTAACATTAAACCCAATGCAGCCGGTTGTCAAAACAACCCTTGTTTGTCCCTTTTTGACCAAGTGCTGGGTTGCCAAAATTACCTAGATTGAGCTGTTTATAACCCAGTATTTATTAGAATGTACAATCACAGTTTATTAGTTTATTTGATTTCAAATGATCTAATCTAACTAATCTAAGCTTTGGGCACATGTGCTCTCCTGCACTAAACTTTTGTACATGTGAGGTAAGAATGAGTTTTCCGGAAGTGATATTTGTATTACCATAGAAGGATTTTAGTTTGTTAATGTGAAATCCAGATGTTTTTACTTTTACTAATTTCCACGGAAGTTTTCATGTCAATCTATAATGCCTGGGAAAATCGAGTCAAAGATAGTAGATCGCGGCTGTAAATAAGATGTTTGATGTTTATCCACGAGGTTTCATCAGTTATCTGGTCAGTGAGGAATTCCCAGCGTTTGAATTTATGCACACTGTGACCTCGCAAGACCTCTAATACACCTGCAGATGTGAATGGAGTAAAACATTGAAGTAGCTGTTCCAGCATGACATAGGTCTCCTCCTTTTTTGGGGGTATGTGTGTATTGTTACACAAGTCTATAAATCTGAATTAATTCTAACTTGATTCGACTCACTCATAATGCTAACTCCAAATGATTTGGCATTGACTGGATCTATTTAAAGCTCTGCTACTAGAATTCCTTAATAGCACCTAATAATAATAATAATAACTTAAGTCCTTAAGAAGTTTACTTAAATGTTTACATCTGTAATGTGGTGTTTGGGCTTTGTTTCTTGTTCATTGTTTTCATGTCTTTTATTTTGTAGTTAGGCCTCAGTCATGTTCTGTCATGTGGTTCCCTTGTCTGTGTGTTATGTTCTGATTGGTTGTTTTAGTCATGTGTCTTGTGCTTATTGGTTTATGGTCTTGTCATGTGGTTCTCAGTTCTGTTTGCCCATTGGTTGGTTTGTGTCATGTGACCCTTCTTGTTTGATACAAATAGCCCTCGTGTTCCCATTGTTCTTTGTCATGTATTAATGTTGTAACCCGCTGTCGGTGAGTCTAGTCTGTTTTTGTCAAGTCTGTTCATGCCAAGTCAAGCCTGTTCAAGTCAAGTCTTTTTGGATCACTTGTAAATAAAACTGCACATGGGTTCTCACTACGCTCGCCTTCAGTGGACTGAATCATTACAACATCACACAACAGAAAGTGGACACTGAAAACTTTAAGAGCTGTGAAGATGTGCATTATCTTCTTGTTGCTTTTGTTCTTACATTTCGAAATTTGTCATCTTCACCTTCATGTCAATCCAAACCTCAACTTTCTTTCTTTACATAGATAGCATAAAAGAAAGTAAAGGGATTTGGAATGACTTGAGGATGAGTAAATGATGATATATCACAAGCAGATTTAGCAGTAATCTTGTGAAAAGCTTGTGGACCTAGTTATTAGTTGGAGTTCATTCCCTGTTCTCTGAGAATGTTCTACAGAGACGCTTGTTAGAAGTTAGTTGGCACATGCCCTGTTTACACAGCAATTTGGTGGTTTTTGTAAGCCAAATCAATGTTGTGATCTCCGTGAGAGAAAATACAGCCAGCCTTCCACTGCTTGTAATGTTATCCTGAAGTTATTTGTTGTCATAATGGACTAAATTCACTTATGATGCCGGTGAAGATACTGAGCACTAGTACCCTACCATACTACTACATGCCTGTTTCAGTTTACGAGTAAATGCACCAAAGACAAAACATAATCAGCAAGCACAGTTTCAGTTTGATTCAATTTTATTTAAACTCTTTCAAAGCAGCTGCACTGATGCCATAATGCTCAGAGTGAGTAAAGGCGGGCATACACGGTGCGATTTTTGCTGTCGTACGAGCTCGCAGGCGATTTTTTTTCTCTCGGAAGAAAATCGCAGATGCTCGCATGGTCGCGGCTCGTACCGTGTGAGAAGAATTACGGTTTCAGGTTTGACTGCCTCCGTACGATTTTCGGATAAACTCAATCGTGACATGTGCCAGAGCTCACGACGTTCCGACCTTCAGGATCGCACTGTGTACGCCCACCTTAAGCCAACTGTGGCAATTTCGAATATAACTCCGAATGTGTTCGTCTGAAAGAGGAATGTCAGACATGCCTAGGATGTCTTGAGAGTGAGTAAAACACAGGCTAATTTTCATTTTTAGGTGAACTATCCCTTTAACACATTTTAGAAAGAAAAAGTCAACTACCCCCTTTAAATTATCTAGGCCAAAGTATATAAAGTTATAGAAAAGCGTAATAGTCACTTGTTAATGTGTTATTAAATAACATATAGTAGTTGCAATTATATGATTGGAGCCCAGCCTGAGATTACTGTCGCGATCCAAGCAGTTTTCAGGGAAATATCCCTCATCCCTCATCTGCTGGCTTATGGAATGACAAACATCAGATACAGTTCCTCAGAAAAGATGAGTTAAAGGTGGGGGATAATGGGAATTGTTTGGGGCTGGATCTGATCAGAACAGAAGCTTGTGAGGTAGAGTCAGAGAAAATTGTGAGAATGTCAGTCTTATTCCCTGATTATGGTTAATATCCTCAGTCTGTTATATTCTGAGAATAATAGTCGGGATTCCAGCAGGCCTAACAATACAACACAGCTGAGCGCATATCTATAAATATGCTATGAGGTTGGCTAGACAGAAGATAGACTCAAGCTGAGTGTATTCCATATCTCAGAGGCCATGAAGGAAAGGGATATACATCTTCTGGTGGATTTGGGAGCGTTAGATATTGAATGCACAATTTCTACCTCACTCAATGCATTTGCAATAACTGTTATTATTATGTGCAATAATTGTATATTTACCTACATTCTCAGGGTACTCACATGATATATAATCTCACTGTGCAACTATACTAGTTGTATTATATTAGTCTGCTGGTCAGAAGGTGGGAATACAATTTTTAAAATGTTTTTCAACAAAGTCCTCTTATGCTCACCAAGGCTGCGTTTATTTTTTTATCTGACAAGTCTTTTTTTTCTATTACCCTGCAATGTATTAAAAATTATTATTATTATTTTTGTTTTGTGCTATCAGAAGTCTTTGTAAGCTTAATGAGTTTAAAGATGCAGCCTATTGGGTGTTTGCTGGAGTACAGAGGGCTCAATACTTTGAATCAGAGGTTTAAATGCAAGTGGAAGTATTTTACAAATTAAATAAAATTATTTAAAATTGAACTGGCAGACAACTAATGTAGCATAGAAACAGACATATTCTGACACTGTTTATTTCCACTGGACATTGTACAGACTTTGCTGCATCTTGAAGTTACAAATACATGAACTTATTCATTCATATGCCACCATGATAATGTGTAAGGGATATTGATGAAGTGGCTTTAAATCAAGAGATTGTTGTCAAACACCGTGTTGTGTAACTGTAAAGCATGACTCAATTGAACATCTGGATGCTGTATTAAAGGGACATCTTCAAATGTTCTTATAATGGTCTAATAAACAACTTGGAGCAACTTGAAAAACTGTAAAATTAAATTACATCTGGTGTGGAGGACATATAGAGCTGCATGTCATAACAATGGAAGCTAGTGCCATTGTTCCTTGTAATAGCACCTGAAGGAAGCATGTATAAGCAGTTCATTAAAGGACATGGGACAGAGCCTTGTGGCACTCCATAATTCTTAGGTCGGACATCTCCTCATTCACACTCATAAATATGGCAAATTTGACGTAAACCAGGCTAGGATGACAATGTGTTTGTCACGTTTGTCTGAAAGAAAGTTATAATGTATAATGTCAAAGAAAATACTAAAATTGGAATTTGTGTTCAGACCCACGATGACTAATAACTATTGTCAAAATTGTTTTTAAATAATACCTGTTATTGATTAAAGTTATGGTATATTGATATATGTTATATATATTTTTTTAAATCATATTTACTCAATACATGACAAAGGCCACAGCAATAACATATGCTTTGTTTGATCCAAGTATGTTTATCTTTTGTTTCCAGAGATCTGAGATTCAACAAAATCAAGGATTTACAGCCAGGATCCTTCAGACGATTAAAAAACCTCAATACACTGTAAGCGTCAATGTTTTCTTAACTGGCTTCGTGAAAAACACATCTCATAAAACTAAACTTTTTGGAGCATGTTCCTTTGTTTGAAATCATCTATTTTGATGTCTAATACATTTCTTTCCTCTTTCTTTAAGGCTTTTAAATAACAACCACATTAGAAGAATCCCAAGAGGAGCCTTTGAAGATTTGGAAAACCTAAAATATCTGTGAGCTTTTCTTTACCTCTTTTGATTGCTTATTAAAATATTGAAATTGTGGATAAATAAAAATACAGAAAGAGTGATGCTTTATGGATAAAAGCTTAAGTTCTGAGTTAGAGAAGTCAAGTAATATTAATTTTAAAGCATAGCTACTGTACAACCACTGCCTGAAAGTTCAAGTTAAAATGTACAATATAGTAGGTGATATGATAAAACATTTTCCCTTTAACTTGATTTCAGAACCATGAGCCAACATGTTGCACCATGCTCACCACTTGTATGAATGATTCAGTCATTACTACTGCCATTGTTTGACACAGAAGAGAGTTGAGGTCATGGAAAGAGACTCTCACACATGTGGGAAACTTAATTGTCTGCACTGTAAAATTATCTGTCTGACGGCCCTGACACAAAAGCACGGAGATCAGAGTCAGGCGGAGCTGGAGTAATTGCTCTCTGGGCAGACGCTGCACAGTTCCTGTCTTTGTTCGTCACAGAGCAATTTGAGAATCTGTAACTTTAGTTGTGGTAAGAGCAGCCTGTGTTTATATTTAAATACAGTTGGTTGTTTGAAATGTTTCACACCTGGTTTTGCCTAGATAACATCTAAACTCAGCTGCTAAGAGAATACAGTAAGAGTAAAGTATGTGTAGGTCAATCTCACCAACTTGTCAAAAACATGTCTGATCATATTTCACCCCCAAATCAAAATAAATACATATTTCTGCTTTAACCCTCTAAGCGCCAAAGTCGCAAAATTGGGACAAGACGTCATACTTAATAAAATAGACTGTAATATGGTGTAATATCTCATTTGTATTCCCTACCACTAGATGGCAGACATGTAGTACTTCGATTCTAGACCAAAATTACGTCACGTTCCTATTCAAAGTGTTCGAGGAAATAGCAGAGCAAGTGAGCTATCGTGTCATTGATGCGGAAGCAGTTCAGTTCATAGCGTGCGAGTAAATTGTGAGATTTGTGAGAGAAAATCGCCAAATAGCTAATAAAAAGTTGTACCGTGAGGATGTGTTGCAAATGTTATTCGCCGATTCTGACTCTGAAGGGGAATATTTGCCTTTTGGAAATGACGATCGGTCGTCTAATAATCGCGCTTCTCCCGGTACATCTTTGCAGCGCAATGGTGCCGCCGTGCAAGGCGCGAGTGTTCACGAAGCACAAACAAGTGATCATTTCGACCCTTTGCCCAACGGGGATGGGGGTGGCAGGGGTGAACGTGGTCGTAGTGTCAATAGGAGAGCTGTTGCTAGAGGTAGAGGCAGCGGGGGTAGGAGAAATAGGGCTGGAAGTAGCACTAGCTCTTTGGATCCAGTCAGAGCGCTCTGGATCCAGTGCCCCAAAGAGGTGGGAATGGCCGCGGTACACGGTGCAGTCAGTGTGGGGTAGGTCTGTGCGCTGTGCCATGCAATGAGAGGTACCATACTCTCAAGAACTATAAACTGTGTCACCTAGATACCTGATTGGGCAGATAGCTGGTCAACTGATCAAAAAATAGGCACATGCATTTTACTATGGCACAGTAATATAGTAATAATTAGCTACTTTCTCCTGTTTTACTGTTGATTTCCTCTTTTCCTGATCTTTTGGAATGAGGATAAAAACACAAAAAAAAAACCTTCCAAATAAGTTCAAACATCCATTCAATATCTATTATTTCCTGAATATTACTGATGAACTGATCAAAAAGTAGGCTACTGTTAACATGCATTTTACTACTATATAGTATAGTAATATAGTAATAATTTAGTACTTTCTCCTGTTTTATTGTTGGTTTCCTCTTTTCTGATCATTTGGAATGAGGATAAAAAGATTTTTAAAAAACATGCAAATAAGTTCAAACATCAATTCAATATCTACTATTTCCTGAATATTATGAAATTCAAGATGGCCGCCTCTGATGACGTCATAATATGCTAATTAGACGAGTATATTTACACCCCACATAAACTTTCGGTCATGCCCAACATTTTTCTAATTTACAGTAGATCTCTATCTTTAAGCCCTTTCAAGCCACAAGCTTTTGAAATCTTGATGTCAAAATCCAGCATTGTTCCAAAAATCCCTGGCGCCTAAAGGGTTAAGAAAATGAAGCATTTTTTTATCACCACTATGATAAATTTTGCATTGTGGCATTAATTATTATTATTACGTTACACATTATTATTGGGACATCCATCCCTACCCCTAAATAAAGAAATATTATTTATTTTATTTATTTATTTATTTTATGTATTTATTTTGATTTCTTTTTTATTTGTTTTTTTATTTTTTTATTTTTTTCATCATAGATATACTGCCAAAACAAGCCAAAAAATAGTAGTCAGCTCTTAGTGTATCGTGTATCCATCACTAAATTCCCTTTTTAAGAATTATAATATAAAAGTATTTGTATAACTCACTGGTGATTGACCACTGGACTGTGTGAAGCCTAAACAATCTCTACAAGAGGCTGAACAGTTAGAGCCCACTGTTATTCTAGTGCTGGTGGTCTAAAAGACAAACGCTGACTTCACAGACTACAACTCGTGTGTCACTCCAGATAAACATACTGAGTATTATATAAGTGTCAGGCTGAGTATTATTTCATTCATTAACTGGTCTTGGTCGGTGCAACCATCAGGCATACTGTATGTGATAGTTCACACAGTCATGATGTCCAGCTGTGGAGTTGTCTGAAAGAGTACTTTAAAATGTCCCCTTCTGGTTACTCAGGCAAGGTCCAGTGGTCTGGCTAGTCCTCCAGACAAAGTGAATGTAACCTGCTTTGTGGCTGGTTTGGCATTTTACCACTGTAATTCAGACACTGTAAACATTCAACAGGTTTTTGCATAAGAAAACCTCACATTTTTCAGGGTTATTATTGTGAAATGAAATCTAAAAAAAAAGGGTTGATTTTATTCCCGTTTTATATTTACATAACATATTTAGTTTAACTTTATGTACTAATATACCTAAAACTGAAATAAAATTAATTTTATAGATAAAAAATAAAAACAACAAAAACACACGACTAAAACTTTAAAATGAAAATAAAAATTGAAATCCTAATATTATTATATTATAATATTATCTAGAAGCACTAATATAATAATAATTTAATTAGTCACCAGCTGGATTTTGTTTTTTACATATATAGTGGGGTCCAAAAATCTGTGATTTTTATTTTTTTTTTTTAAATCATTGAAACCTGGACATAAGTAGAAAATGTTAGGAATTCAAAACATTTAAAGGCATTTTGAGGAACAATATTCATATACATTTTTCAGTTTGACTTTTTACTCAAATTGTTACTGATACTATCATTTGATATCAATAGAGAAATTAATATCAATGGAGTAATATTGAAAAAAAATAAAAATTCCTAATGATTTCAGTTTCCATCATGGTCTGAGTGATATTCTTAACTTGAACAGCTCTCATAACTTAAAGTGCATTGCTTTAGTGGTGCTTATATATGCAAATATTGAATACTTGTATGGGAAGACACGGCAGCATATACTTCCTGTGGGATGGTGTCATAGTCCTCAAGGTCACAGGATCATGTGGTTTATGTGACTGAGCGCTGGTTCTCAACAGAACAGGAAAACCACAAACTTTCCTTCCTGTTTCCCACAGGCCACCATATCTGTGTTATCAATATACAGTCAATATGCAAAAGTTGTTTTTTTTCTATTATTCCTGCATTATCTGATTAAAACGTTCATTTTGATCTTTATTTCTGTGTGTACATGTTGTGCATGTTTTATTTTTATTTTCTCTGTTAAAAATAGGAGATCCCTCAATGTTTGACACTCGCTATGTACTAATATTCCTGAATAATTCTTTCAGCTATTTGTACAAGAATGAAATCCAGGCGATAGACAGAGAAGCTTTTAAGGGGCTCGTCTCTCTAGAACAGCTGTAAGTAACCTTTTGCCTTGTCACCTCCTGTCTAGTTTTTAATATCGCTCAAAGTTAAAGGAATAGTTCACCCAATTTCTGATGCAAGGCTATTGTACAGCTTTCAGAAAACTCAGAATATTATAGTGCATATAATGAAGTCACTATAATGATATTTTTATGATGAAAAAATATCTCCAGTTATGATTTATTATGGGAATTGCATTGTAAAAAACAACCAACAATTTAAAAAAAGAAAGAAAAAAAATATATATGTATATATATTTATATAGTTTTTGTTGACAGACATTAGGCACAGAAAATGTCATGGTAATAACATTCAAAATGAAGTCAAATTAAACTGAGGAAAAGCTCTAGATACTATGTTTATGGCAAGTAAAACAATGTGACTCTCTCTCACAGATACCTGCACTTCAACAACATTGAGTCATTGGAGCCGGAGTCTTTCTCTCATCTACCCAAGCTGGAGCGGCTGTGAGTTACGCATGCATCTCAGACCTCAAATCGTCACTCCGATCCCTACAGGGTTGCATGTTTAGTCATGACAACACGTCCCTTTTGAAATTAGATTAAAAAACAGACAAGCGTGTAGGCAAATGTGTGCTATGAACTGTAGCCTATGTTCTGGTTTGTTTTGAGAGAGGAATTGTCTTCAAAGGGATGTTTTGACCCTGTAAACCCTGACATATGAAAGAAAAATCATGTGTGTTTTTGATTGTATCATATTTTATACATAAGGATTTTTTTGGCTCATATAGTATGTTGAAGGGAGAATATGGAGCTCAAACTGGGTAAAAGTATGCAATTTGGATTCTGATATTTATGTAGGCAAAGAGTAAGATGAAATTCTGATAGCTGTAAATCAGTGAGATCTTATAGCAGATACTATACATAAAATTATATACATATCTTAAATATGCCAATTGTGTACAACAGGTTTATTGAAATTCACTTTTCTCTGTTTTCTGAATGAAAATAGTTTCTCCTCCAATTCCAGTGTTGAAACTATTCCAAAAAATTAAGGGTGCAGTTTGTTTGTTTGGGTAGATTTCATCCCACGTGTAGCCCCCAAATTAGTGCAATGACTATATCCCAAATATCAGAATTCAAAATACAGTCACTGTTATGCAGATTGATCATAAACATAGCTAAAATGTTTCAATACAAGCATTTCAGTCAAATGTAATTTATGCAAACCTTTCACGGGGAAAATCAACCCATTGGCAACAGTTTAAAAGTAGCCCAATTCCATTGAAGAAAACGTGGACTTGACAGCCCTGCATCCAACACGAGCTGCAGGAGTCAGATTTGACTGATCATGGGTCGAGAGTAAGGAGAGATGACTGACAGACTATGGTGGAGGATTTGCTGCTCAACAGATCCTGAGCTCATTGACAAATATCTTATCTCGTAAGATGTGCTTCCTTTACACAGAGTACGCATGATTGCGAAATCGAAAGTGAACCACGAGCGCTCATTCAAAAGGGATTTCAATACTGCACATATTGATAGCGGCTCCCTGATGCGCGAAAATTATATGCAGTATTAGAATGTTGGCGGGACTGGACACAAAAATCGCACAGGCGGTAATGGTCAGAAGTTCAGTGGAAGCAGGATTAAGAAAACAGTCTTACAAAAACGCATACAAAAGTGCACACAATGAATAACGTCTGTAGAAAGCAAAAAGCCGAATCCCGGACATTTTGGGCGATATAGAAATCCTGGCCGGATGCATTTTTTTAGGTCCAAAAAGAGGACGTTATGGTCACCCTAAGACCACCTAAATGTAAAAACTAAGATGCACAAAATAAATTGGGTAAAGTCTACACAATACTTGGTAACACTTTCTATGAAGCCCGTATTTATAATACATTATAAGGGTATTCTTAAGGCATTATAATGAATGCATAATGCATTATAAAAAAAACTTATAATATGTTATATCAACTCATGAATAATCATAACAACAATTATAATACATCATAATACTTACGTATTTGTGGTTATAAGTTTAAGAGTATGATTATTTATAACACACAATGAACACCATATTAAATCTACTTAATTTACAGTATAATGGACTGTATCATATCTTGACATTGTTTATTTAAGATCTGCACAGTATCTTACTACAGCTTGTGAGTGGTAGATGTTGAGTGTTATTTGATCTTTCCTGTGGAGCTAATGTTAATTAATTGATGTGAGCTTTATACTCCAACTGAGAAAAATGCAATGTTTTATATGGTTACATTTTATTTTGATGGTCCCCTTAATCAATCGACTATAAGCAACTTTGCAACTACATGCCAACTAACTCTCATTAGAGTATTAGTATGCTCAAGAATGATAGAATCTAGTATGGTAGAATAAGTTGACATACTTGCAATGAAAAATGGGGGCAAAAACAAAAGTGTTGCGTTTATAATTTTGTTCAGTGTACATGCCAACTAACTCTCATTAGAGTATTAGTATGCTCAAGAATGGTAGAATCTAGTATGGTAGAGTAAGTTGACGTACTTGCAAAGACACTTATAGTCAGTTTATCTGTTGGTTGACCATCAAAATAAAGTGTTAGCATATATTTACAGTAGCAGACATACTAATACTCTAATGACTGCCAGTTGATATGTAGTTGCTGAGTTACTTATCAACAGCTGTCTAAAGGGTAATGTAAGTAATATGAACTCTTGATTAACACTTAATGTTTTTGTATGTAGCAAAGCACACGCTTACAGTGAACAAGTAAGAAGTTCCATGCCACTGCACTTATTTAGTAACAGCTATTCCTCACTGACTGACTTCAGTATGAAGGTTCAGGTCTTTCTCTTTACTTAAAAACACATAAAATAGCACTTAATGTCACCATTTACTCTCATGATCCAGCCCTGTGCAAAGCATGCTGCGAACTAACAATCCACTGCCCAGTTTCAGGTAATCCCAGCAGAAATAGATCAGTTTTTAATTTTTAAGTGGATTGTGTTGGTTAGCTCAAATTGTACAAGCAGCTTAAATCATTTTTATTACAGTTTTCTCTGTCGCATTTCTTTCTGTTGACCTGAATTCTAAATGTTTGGAGATTTGTGGCGCTGTACTCACCCACACACATTCTGATGTCTTTCAATGACGGGAAAGTCACTCGCACATAAACAGGGACTGACACGTGAGTTAGGGACCAGTTCGCTGCTGGAGTTTACATAGAAGCTAGAAGCTGGTGAAGAAGTGAAAATGTATAACGAATCTGCATCTGGAAAGTATGCCTCCTAGTTTATTTGACTAGTTGTGAACAGTAATGTCATCCCTGGGAAAGTGACCCCATCTGACCTGGTAGAAAATAAGAACATCCCTGTGGACCTTCATCTTTGCATCTCTGTTCCACAGAGCAACATTTTGAAATAATTAGGCCTACAGTTTTTTTTCCCCCTTCTGTTCAGCAAGGCTGCACTTATTTGATAAAAAAATACAGTAAAATTTGTAATACTGTGAAATATTACAATTTAATCTGTTTGCTATAGTAATATATTTTAAAGTGTAATTTATTCCTGTGTTGCAAAGCTGAATATTCAGCAGTCATTCAACCACACCAACTACACAAGCTACACATGTATCAGGGATTTGAGCAGAAAGCATTGTTTTCCAGTCTGCTACAAGTGTCACAACCATGTGAATTTGTGCTTTGCAAAAAAGGAAACAATTTTATTTTAACATTTCAAAAAACTGCCAAACAATTTTGTGAGATTTTGTTTTGTTTTCTCTATCATGTCAGATCACCTTCAAAACAAATTGTACACAATTTGTACTACATACCACTCACAAATTAGATAACACAGAATAAACAAATCACTGATCCTAAATGTGAGCACTAGTATAGTAATGCTTTTATGGTGTTGTGTTTTTTTTCTGTCCTGGTCACAGATTTTCTATGCCTGATGTTTAAACCTCTCACTGATGTCTATTGCAGGTTTCTGCACAATAACAGAATTACTCATCTTGCATTAGGAACCTTCTCCCACCTGCAGTCCATGAAGAGACTGTGAGTATTGCTCAAGCTTATTTACGGTTGGGTGAAGCAGAAGTTTGCTCAGAGATTGTCTTTGTGTTTAGTTAAAGGGGTCATATGATGCGATTTCAATTTTTCCTTTCTATAAACACATTTCATTACACCAAATACACAAAATAATGTTCTTTTTAGCAGCATCATATGACCCCTTTAAAAAAATTTGAGCTTGAGAACTTTTGTTCCATTTAAGCTACAAAAACTTTAATTAAAATATTTAGTGCAGTGTTGTTTTAATATTTTTGAGATCCTACTATATTTTTATTAGTATATTGAGTTGGTTTTCATTTTCGGTTCGAAGTTGTTGTAATTTTGTTTTGTTTTTGTAATTTTGATTTTTTTTATTTAAATGTGTACATTTTTTTTTTTTTTTTTTTTTTTTAAAAAAAAATGAGAACTGCTGCCTGCTTTACAAAAAATAAAATTAAAAAATTAAAAAAAATTAATGGTTCTAATTTCAGTTAACTATAATATCCCAGATTTAGTACCATTCCTTTAGATGAGGATGTTAAAAAAATTTTAATATTTATTAACACTGTTTATAATTTTAGGGGTTTCAATGTTTTGATGTACTAAATGTGACCAAGGACCACAAAACCAATTTTTTGAAATTGAGATTTGAATAAATAAGCTTTCCATTGATGTATGTTTTTTTTGGCATAAAATAAAAATCGACAATTTTGACCCATACAATGTATTTTTGGCTATTGCTACAAATATACCTGGGCTACTTATGACTGCTTTTGTGCTCCAGGGTCACAAATAACTTGAAATCTAAAATCAAAGAAAATATTTCACTTTTTGTGTTGATATTCTGAACCTCCTCCTACAAGCCATTCGAGACTATAGATAATAAAACTTGTTTGGCAAGGATTAGGATTAGAGAGTGGTGCATGTGAGTTTAGAAAGACTTTTCACAGAATGGTGTTACCATTTTGACCCAACTACACCAACATTGCTACAAATGTATCAGTGATTTGATCATAAAGCATTGTTTTCCCATCCGCTACAAGTGTGAATTGGTGCAACAGTATTATTTTAACAAAAGATCTGCAACAAAATTTCATTTTCATTTTGTGTTTGTGTGTGTTTATAGGCGCCTCGACTCGAACTCACTGCACTGTGACTGTGAACTGCTGTGGTTGGCCGATCTGTTGAAGCAGTACGCAGAGTCCGGTAACGCTCAAGCCGCAGCTACATGCGACTATCCCAGCCGCTTGCAGGGACGCTCGGTCGCAACTCTCACTGCAGAGGAGCTCAACTGTGGTGAGGCCATTCACACACAAACACACCAATATACACATTGTTTTCAAATCAAAAACAAAATGATGAACTGACACTAAATTATTGAAAGATTTAAAGCATCTGCCCCCATTCACCGCATCCACATGATTCTGCTCGATGGGACCACTCAATGTCTTTGAACATGTTAGTCATCATAATAAATAACAGATGCTGATCTGGTTTTGGGAGCTGGATTATGGAGAGATTTCCCAGATGTGTCATTGTTTGCATGCTACGCCACCTCCTCGTGAAACACTGGAAGGAGTGAAGGGTCAAACGTGACTTTTTTCGTTTCAACCATCTGTGAAATAAATACAGGTCAACTCTACTGGGCTTTCTGGCATCAGAATTGTCAGCTGGGAAAAAAGCAGCTCAGATATTGGGCTAATTACCAGTTAAGTGTTCACTGAAAAACAAATTATGGTAAAAAAGGATATGACTAAATAATATAATCTTAATATACAGAACTATTTGAAATACTAAGGTTTTTGTACCTTTAATGTACTAACTGCCACAATAGAAAGCCACTTGATGAATCAAAGTTCATTGTTAGTGGCCTGGCCATAAGGTTCATAAACACAAAACACCATCAGGATAACACACAACACTAAAATAATGCAATAAGCATTAACTAAATAACAGGTAATATAACACAAAACACCCTAATGTACATAACTGATAACAAAAACAAGAAGAAACAACACTATTTAAGTCAAATATAATCATATGACATGTTTCACGCAGGTTTTTTTACCATAAACAATACAGTAATTTATAGATTTTACTTGCAAAAAACATACATTTTATTTTACAGTTAAATTAAATGATCTGATGGTTTTTCCACTGTATATGTTACGTGACTTAGAGTTAAAAAGGTATTTTGCTGAGGCATTTTTTTTTACAGTTTTACAGTGCTTAGAAACGGAAGCCTTTTATAATTTCAAGTGCTCAAACTACTGTCAAACCACCCACAGAAAAAGTAGTTAGCTGCTGCACTACAAGCTACGAACAAAACGTAATGGACTACACTGAAGCTATTTCAAGGCTATTAACATGTAACACATAGAACCAGCAGATAATAAAACATATTCTTACAATTGCAGCAGTATTTATTTGGCGGAACTCACTCATTTAATTCATTTAATTGATTTTATTTCATTTTTAGTAATAAATGATTAAACACTATTTTTTTTAGTTACTATTATGTTCAATGAAATAGAAATAAAACGAATAATTGATATAATAATTATTTACGTCTACATCTTTTTCTCTGAAATGTGGTCCATTGGGTGACCTCTGAGGCAGCAGTAGAGGTTTCACTACAGTAGCAGTTGTGCTCGATAGATTTGCTCAGGCTTGTTGCAGCTCCACAAACGGCCGTATTGTCTCTGTAGAAGAATGGGGTTAACACCGTATGGCTTTTCCACCCCCTCTATACATTAAACACAGCACATAGACGCTTGAGGCACCTGTCAAAACACAGCACCAGCCCGCCAGACAGCTGCAGTTTCTCTGGGACTGGCACAGGACCTGTCGCATTACTGCCACACTGCGCAATGCAATACAAAAGTTAGTCATAGAATGAAAAGTAAAGGTCACCCAAAAATATTGTAATCATTTGCTTATCCCCTTGGAATTGCAAAACTGCATGATTTTCTTTCTTTCTTTGGAACACGAAAGGAGATTTTTGTCCCTCTTCTGTTATATGCAAGGACTTTGACTCAGTGTGCAACCAGACGTTTGGTTTTGCCAGTAGAAAGAGTTTCACAGTTCTGTCAGACTGTTCAGGGATACATTTCACCATGTGCACATTGGTGTTGGTGGGTAATGTTTGGGGTTTGGCACATGGCCGTTGTGACCATAGACACAATCACCACGTGCCTGGCCGTCAACCAACACGGGCAGCCAAACCAGTTCAGAGGAAGTGAGGCAAGAGGGAGATGTCGAATGTTACACTACAAATAAACCTTTAGGGCTGTAATTCCAATAGCTTTTACAGACCAAATTAAACTTGTTTTACTTCTCCTCACACCTCGTCTTTTGCGGCACACTTATATTTAGTTTCATCTGAATGTGTCTCTACTGTGGAGCAGAAGTTCCCCGGATCACATCTGAGCCGCAGGATGTTGACGTAACCTCTGGGAACACTGTGTACTTCACATGCAGGGCAGAACACAAAATAATGATCTTTAAAAAAGCATCATATGACCCCTTTAAACAATGTTCATTCGAAAATTGCTAGTAAATTTAACAAATAATTACAAAGAACCATATAGCACATTGAATTAGTGTAGCGAATTATTTTACTGTAGTTTTCATTAAATTTAATAAATGATTATAAAGAAACAGTCACACACTGAATTAAAATATGTACACAGTTTATTTAGCAATTTCTGAGTGAGAATTGTTTCAGTAAATTGCACAAATTTCAAAGCAACAAGTAAAACATTGAATTAAAAAAATGTGTAGGATTTACTTAAACACTTTTCACTCAGAAATTGCTAGTAAATTTTACAAAGAAATTAGAAGTATAACATTGAATTGAAAAGTTGGTGTAGGTTTAACTTCAGCAATTTCTGAGTAAAAATTGTTTCAGTGAATTTCACAAATAATTACAAAGAAATAATGAATTAAAAAAAATGAAAAATGTTGTAGGATGTACTTTGAAAAAATTTTCACTCAAAAAGCTTACAAATTTCATAAATGATTACAAAGAGGAATAATTAACACATTAAATTAAATATGAAATTTAAGAGTATTTAAAAAAGTATTATCATGTAAAACACACTCCAATAATCTGTTTTTATTTACAACTTAATTTTTTTTTTTTTTTTTTTTTTTACAATGCAGTACTTAGTTTGTACAACATCAAACCCTTTCTTTCTATGATTGTTTGAATTTATTATTTTTTTTTGTATATTTTCATGGATAATTCTAGATAGCATGGCAGTCTGGTGAAGACTATTTAACAGCAGTCTTTTTGCATACAGCAGTCTGTTTTGAGGCAACTAACTGGAGGTCTTTCTCTCTCCAGCTCGACCTAGTTTCGTGATCCAGCCGCAGAATACAGAGGTTCTGGTCGGGGAGAGCGTGACCCTGGAGTGCAGTGCGACGGGCCAGCCGCAGCCTCGCGTAACCTGGACCAAAGGAGACCACACGGCCCTCCCAGTGGACCCCCGCATCAACATCACTCCTTCAGGAGGTCTCTACATCCAGAACATCAATCAGGCCGATGGGGGACAGTACACCTGCTTCGCAAGCAACAACGTGGACACCATCCAAGCCACTGCGTATATTATAGTACAGGGTAAGTGAAGTGGAAATGTGTTACATCAGTTAATAATCATGATTCTGTTTTACATAATTTAGGTTCTTGTATATGCTATTTAAATTTCAAGTAATGGTTGCCTAAAGGTGTCATTCACTGTGACGTTAAGGTGGCAGTTGTGAAGTTAATGAAAGAACATTGACCCGTGGTATACAGTGTGAAGGATGGAAGTAAAAAATAAGCCAGGAATCAGTTAACCCAAGTCATGTTTATTTGTATATAGAACCTTTCACCATACATATAATCTCAAAGCAGCTATGAGATATTGTTACTATGTATCAAAATGTAACATGTATACACATAATATATAACGTTTTATGTTACTTTTGTGGATACTCATTTGTTTACTCATTTGTGGATTTTATATATGAAGTAGCACAAAAGCTCTGATTGAGAACAGATGTAAGTCAAATGGGAAATATGTATTTTTATACTGTTCAGTGTAAACATCCAGTCCTTCAAAATGGAAGGGATAAGCAGTGTTATGTTCTCTTATTCAAAAAGCACTAATGAAAGTGTATTTAAAAAAAAAATTCTATTGGTCTAATCATGGTTTCCAAAAGTTTGTCTAAAAGCAAATAAGACTCCCCATACAAAGAATTAATAGAAACAATTTTGTTTAAATAGTATTTGGTTTGAGACCAGTGTTGATGGGCAGAACACAGATAGAATACATTATTAAGGGTTTAATTAATCCTTCTTGTGCTTTGTGTGTGTGTGTGTGTGTGTGTGTGTGTGTGTATTTTAAAAAGACAAATTTGTCTATAGTAATAGTAAGTAAACTAAATTAAACATTAACAATGTTTTAGATTTACCCCAAGTGAAAATTCTGCTTTTATATTAAACCTAAATTAGTTTTTATGATGAAATAAGGTTGTAAAAAGCCCCAACATATTTTACTGATCTACATTAAGTAACACTTTGGCTAATGTCTAAAGAAAATATAATTATTAAATTGATGGTCTTTTTATAATAAATATATTTATTTATTCTTGTATGAAATTACATTTAAATGAATATTAAATCAAAAATTAAGATTGGAACCAAACCATAAATATAATTTGAAAAAAACTAATACATTTGGCTGTAACAATTTTGTTTATTTTTATTTATTTTATTTTTTTTCGAGTTGGTCCAAAGCTTGTACCTGTTTGATATGAAAGATTAGTTCTGTCTGTCATTCTGCCAGTCTTTGGTTGTGCTCATTCTCAATTATTTTCTTCTTCCTCAGCTCGTCCTCAGTTCACAGTGACCCCTCAGGACCAGTCTGTGCTGGAGGGTCATACAGTTGAGTTTCCCTGCGAGGCCAGCGGCTATCCTCAACCTGTCATAGCATGGACTCGTGGCGGTGAGATGACATAATGCCACCTTGTCTGTTTGACTTGCTAGAGTGGAGTCCACACTATTCAACAATCTGTCTAAGTCAAGTCTGGTCAGCATTTTTATTTAGTAAAAAACTGACCAACTGGCATTTATTAATTTTACAAATGATAACATAGCATTCAAACAGTTTAGGGCAGTATATCAGTACAATCCAGGCAATGGTTTTGTTTCAGGTTAAACTAATGTTCCAAGTTTAAGCTCAGTGGCTTGCTGTCAATTACCACAGAAATTTGTCCCTCAGTTTGGAAAAAAGGGGGATAAATCCCCATATGAAAAAAGTACACTTTGGCATACTTAAAAAAAACAAAAAAACTACTTGTTAAAAAAATTACTTAATATACTTTAAATGAATAAGTTGGACACTTAATTGCATAGTATTTACAATTAAATAAAAATATATAATAATCACTGACAAGCTCAAATATACTGTAATGTCATTTCTGTTCAAACTTGTAAGTCATGTATTTAAAATATACTTTAAAGTAAAACTTTTGATCTGACATTATTACAAAGTGCACTTTATAAAAGTGTGTTAAGAAACATAGTCAAGAAAGTCTTAAGTACATTTCAGTAGATTTTTATTTCATTCATATTATCTGCAAGTACAAATATAAAATATGCTTTTACGATTGAAGCACTTTACAAGTGTACATTCTTGTACTTGTGTACTACAAGTGTAGTTTTTCACAAAGATCTAGTTATGAAATTCTGATTGGATGCCTACACAGTTGTATGTACTGTAAACATGATTTTTGTTTGTCTTCACTAACTGAGAGATGAGTCTGAATCAACAGCATGCCTCAGACAGAATTTAATTTCTTCTGAACTGTCCTTAAAAGGCCACAAGGACACATTTATAGATTATTGAATTGCTGTCTGTCAGTGATTATTTCAACTGTTTTCAGCTTGGACAAAATCACTAAAACTCTGTTCTCCTACAATAGGCAGCTCCCTGCCTAATGACAGACGGCACGTTGTTCTCTCATCGGGCAGCTTGCGCATCAGCCGCGTGGCCCTTCATGACCAGGGCCAGTACGAGTGCCAGGCCGTCAGTCCTGTTGGCACTGTCAGAGCAGCTGTTCATCTAAACATCCTGCAAACCGGTGAGATCCTGTTTACAATATAAATCGCCTTCTGACAGATTATTTCAGCATGTTCAACGAGAGGTGGCCAGCATGTCCAAAATCACAGAAAAGCTCTGTTCACAGTTATGGTATATACAGTGCATTCAGAAAGTATTCAGACCCCCTTCACTTTTTTTCAGTTTATGTTGCAGCCTGATACTACAATTGTTTAAATTCTTTTTTTTTTTCTCATTAATCTACACTCCGTACATCATAATGACAAAGTGAAAACAGAATTTTAGAAATGTCTGTAAATGTATTAAAAAGAAAAAACTGAAATATCACATTTACATAAGTATTGCAACAACACTTGAAATTTAGCTCAGGTGCCTCCCATTTCTCTTGATCATTGCGGAGATGTTTCTACACCTTGATTGGAGTCCACCTGTGGTAAATTAAATTGATTGGACATGATTTGGAAAGGCACACACCTCTCTATAAAAGGCCTCACAGCTGACAATGCAAATCAGAGCGAAAACCAAACAATGAGGTCAAAGGAACTGTCTGCAGAGCTCAGAGACAGGATTGTATCGAAGCACAGATCTGGGGAAAGCTACAAAAAAGTTCTGCTGCACTGAAGGTTCCCAAGAGCACAGTGGCTTCCGTAATTCTCAAATGGAATAAGATTGGCACAACCAGGACTCTTCCAAGAGCTGGTCGCCCAGCCAAACTGAGCAATTGATGGAGAAGGGCCTTGGTTATACTGGTGACCAAGAACCTGATGGTCACTCTAGTTGAGCTCCATGATCCTATATGCAGATGGGAGAAACCTACAGAAGGACAAACATCACTGCAACACTCCATCGATCTGGGCTTTATGGAGGTGTGGCCAAACTCAATCCTCTCCTCAGTGAAGACCCATGAAAACACACTTGGAATTTGCAAAAAAGCACCTAAAGGACTCTCAGACTCTGAGAAACAAGATTATCTGGTCTGATAAACCTCAATTCTAAGCATCATGTTTGAAGGAAAGCAGCTCTGCTCATCACCTGCAGAGTAGCATCCCAAAAGTTAAGTGTGCTGGTAGTAGCCTCATGCTGTGGGGCTGTTTTTTAGCGACAGGGACTGGGAGACTGGTCAGGGTTGAGGGAAAGCTGACTGGAGCAAAGTACAGAGATATCCTCAATGAAAACCTGTTCCACAGCGCTCAGGACCTCAGACTCGGCCGAAGGGTCACTTCCAGCATGACAGTGACCCTAAGCACACAGCCAAGGCAACACAGGAGTGGCTACAGGACAACTCTGTGAATGTCCTAGAGTGGCCCAGCCAGAGCCCTGACTTGAACCCTATCAAACATCTCTGGAGAGACCTGAAAATGGCTGTCCACCACCGGTCCCCATCCAACCTGACCGAGCTTAGGAGGATTTGCAAAGAAGAATGGCACAAAATCCCCCAATCCAGGTGTGCAAAGCTTGTTGGATCATACCCAAAAAGACTTGAGGCTGTAATTGCTGCCAAAGGTGCTTCAACTAAGTACTGAATAAACTTATGTAAATGTCATATTTCAGTTTTTTCTTTTTAATAAATTTAAAGACATTTCTAAAATTCTGTCTTCAATTTGTCATTATGAGGCACGGAGTGTGGATTAATGAGAAAAAAAAATGAATTTAAACAATTGTAGTATCAGGCTGCAACATAACAAAATTGAAAAAAAGTGAAGGGGGTCTGAATACTTTCTGAATGCACTGTATTTCTATGATATAAGGTTAAAAAAAAACATTATTTTCCACATACTGTACATTATTGTTTCTCCTCTATGCCCCGCCTATCCGGTGATCCACAGCGCGAAGTTGATGTATTTCCTCAGCAATCAGCACGGATCAGCTCCAGGCATGACGAAGCGGATATAGTCCTCTTTTGGAAGGCCAAGCAAAATACTTTCGCCTGCTTTCACAACGAAATACACAGCGTCTTCACGACATGGCGGCGGCGGCAACAATACTACAGCGAGAATAAAAGTTACGCCTTCTTTCTTTGCGTGAACATTTGGGCGGCGTTATGCAAATCTTCCCACATAGTGATGTAGACATGTGGGGGCGTGTTAGAACGAGCCGTTTTAGGTAGGCGTGGTTGACTCTTAACTTTTATAAAGAATATCTCTTTGGATTTGAGATTTTAGTCTCAACTTTACAGATCTTCTTTATCCACCAAGAGCTTGTAACACTCTAAAGAGAAAGGAATACTTTAAATCGCATCATATGATCCCTTTAAGTTGAAGTACTAAAATAACTAAAATTACATAGACTAAAACTAGTAAATAAATGTATTTTTAAATGGTAACACTTTATTTTAAAATGTCCTTGTTACACATGTTACATGTACTTACTATTATAATAACAATTAATTATGCATAATTACATGCAAGTAACCCTAAACCAAACCCTAACCATATAGTAAGTACATGTAGTTAATTAATATTTCTCAGTACTTAAATGTATAATTACACTGTAATAAGGCCAACTTAGAATAGTGTAACCATTTTAATTTATTAATAATAAGTAGTAATTAATAATAATAAATAAATAAATACTATACTGACATATAAAAACTAATAAAAAACAAAACACAACAAAATGACTACAATTACTAAAACTTGCTTGTCGTTTTTTTTTTTCAAATGAGAAGGTCAGATTATTCAAAACAGCTCTGACATTAGTAAAAAACTTTAAATATTAAATTATTATTATTATATTAAATTTGACTATTTTTATATTTTCTGTTTTTACTTTAATTTCAGTTAAAGTTTTAGTATTTTAGTCACGGTGTCTATGTTTAGCAGTTTTATTCATGATGTTTATATGATATGTCTATATGATATTGAAACAGACGGTCCACTGAAGGCAAGTTGTGATGAACCCAAGTGCAGTTTTATTCAAAATAATCCAAAATACAAACAAAGACTTGACTTGACTTGGCATGAACAGACTTGAATGTTCAGGAGCTTGACAGAGGGGTCTTTAGAGCCGCACCACCAGCACTGGCGCCCCTCAGGGTTGCGTCCTCTCCCCACTGCTCTTCTCCCTCTACACCAGCGACTGCACCTCTAAAGACCCAAACCCATCTAAAGATGAGTCTGCTTACACACAAGAGGTTGAGCAGCTGGCTGTCTGGTGCAGTCTTAATAACCTGGAGCTGAACACGCTCAAAACAGTGGAGATGATCGTGGACTTCAGGGGGACCCCCTGCACTCCCCCCACTCACCATCATGGACAGCACTGTGGCTGCAGTGGAGTCATTCAGATTCCTGGGAACCACCATCTCTCAGGACCTGAAGTGGGATACTCACATCGACTCCATTGTTAAAAAGGCCCAACAAAGGTTGTACTTCCTTCGCCAGCTGAGGAAATTCAACCTGCCACAGGAGCTGCTGAAACAGTTCTACTCAGCCGTCATCGAGTCTGTCCTGTGCACTTCAATAACTGTCTGGTTTGGTTCAGCTACAAAATCAGACATCAGAAGACTACAGAGAACGGTTCGGACTGCTGAAAGGATTATTGGTGCCCCCCTGCCTACCCTCCAAGAACTGTATACATCCAGAGTGAGGAAAAGGGCTCAGAAAATCACTCTGGATCCATCACATCCAAGCCATCTCCTTTTTGAACTTTTGCCATCTGGTCGGCGTTACAGAGCACCAAATACCAGGACACAAGAACAGTTTCTTTCCCCAGGCAATCTACCTCATGAACAGTTAATGTTCTCCCATTGTGCAATTAAAATATGTGCAATAACCTTATACTTATTATCACCCTAAACCCTAGTACATCCCTACAACTTATTTTATTTATTCTATTCCTATTCCATCTATAGCACACCTGTACATACAATTTATTCTTTTTTTGTGGTTTATTTATATTTATGCATGTGTATTTTATTCACACCTTTTTTTTAATTATCTGTGTTGTTGTTGTTGTCTCTGTGTACTGGAAGCTTGTGACACTAAAACAAATTCATTGTATGTGCAAACATACTTGGCAATAACGCTCTTTCTGACTTCTGAACAGATTTGACTCAACATGAACAGAAATACAAACTCACCAACAGCAGGTTACACAGTTCATGAGTGCTACTTATATCAAACAATGCAGCTCACATGACAAGAACCAACCAATGAGAGACAGGACACATGACTAAGACAACCAATGAGAACATGACACATGAACCAAAGAACCAATCAGAACACAAGGGAATCACATGACAGAACAAGGACCGTGACTAAACTCCAAAATAAAAGACATGAAAACATGAACCCGAAACAAAACCCAAAACCCCACGTTACAGATATTTATAAATTTTGCTTTATTAGTTTTAGTTTATGTAATTGCAGTTATTTTAGTACTTCAACTTAAACTAAATGAAAATGTTTTTTTTTTTTTACTTTTATTAGTTTTATTTCAGTTAGCGTTTATTTTATTTCAAATAACAATAGTTGTGGTTTTAGTTAAGAATAGTAACCCTGCAAAAGATTCAAAAGAGTAAATCTAATAAGTTCTCATTTCTGACATGCGCACATCACATGTGCTATATATTAATGCATGAGATACGACATTACTCATCAACCGTAAACAAGTGAACTCCATTTAATGTCTGCCTCATCTTGACGTGTTTGGGACACAGCATTTATGTTACTCCATGTTACTTCAGTATAGCATAAAACAAGCCCCTAACACCATAAACTGTAAGTCAATTCTTCATTCAACGGTCCTTCAGAACAAGACTAGACATGGCATTAACAGGAGGGAAGGAGGGTTGGCTTCATAAACGAATTTGTCATTTACCCACCAGCAAAGCCTTCAATTAGAACAACAATACCCCCGTAAAGTCTCAATGACAGACATAAGACCCGGTCCCTGCATGTAAGTGCCTTAAAAACCACCTCTTAAGCTTTATTACAGACTTGTGGAATAGCCAGGAAAGCATGCAGCTTTGAAATTCCCACATGGCAAGATGTTTCCATGTAGTAATGGTTGTTAACACACTGCATAACAACCGCCTGTATTTACTTCAAACCCAAGGCACAGGTTTGGCTCATGGTCGCTTTTATTTAGAACAGGCTTACAGGAATTATCTGAAGAAATGGAGACAGTTAAGAGACAGAGAGAGTTGTGAGAAATTCTACTAGTTATAACAGCTGCAGAAAGAGTGAGTACAGACTAAATGAAAGTTTAGGAATTCATGGAAGGAATAGATAACCCAAAATGATGCAGAAAGAAATCAACATGAGCACTGCAAAAAATGTTGTCTTGTTTTCCAGTAAAAATATCTAAACGTTCTTAAATTGAGATACATTTACAGTTCTGCTCATAAGTTCACATACCTCTTGCGGAATATGCAAAATGTTAATAATTGTAACAAAATAAGAAGAATTGTAAAAATTGCATGCTATTTTTAATTTAGTACTGTCTTGAATAGGCTCAGTGTGAAAAGATGGATCCCAAAATCATACAGTCACTGTTGGAAAGGGATCAAATATGCAGAAGATGCTGGAAAACCAAAGAATGTGCAGGACTTGGAATTTTTCTAAAGAGCAGTCGGCAGTTGAACTGCTCAAAAAAAAAAAGGGACTCGTGAACAACTTTCACAAAACATAAAAACAGACACTAATCATCCAGATAACGACACAGTATTAAGATTCAAGGGTATGTAAACATTTGAACAGGGTCATTTCTATAAATTCAGTTTGTTTGTCTTGTGAAGTATATGTGAACATCTCTTATGTGAAATAGCTTATTCAGGACAGTACTAAATAAAAAAAATAACATGCCATTTTGTTAACATTATAAACATTTTGCATAGTCTGCAAGGGGTATGTGAACTTGTGAGCAGAAATGAACGTGAAAAATAAAATTAAATAAGAAATTAAGTGAGTTTTTGCTTAACAAGAAAAATAACCTTATTTTCCCTTTAAACTAAGTTTATTTTTCTTACCCCATTGGTAGATTCTTCTTTTATTTTTAGCAAGAACTCACTTAATTTTGATATATTTTTCACAAAACAAGATTTAAAATGTAATTTTCCATCTCTACGGAAAAAAAAAAATATATATATATATACCTGTGTATATATATATATATATATATATAGCAGTTGGTGGCAAATTCTTATAGATTACTATAGAGCAACTGTAAAATGGGGTAATTATGCACTAGTTTTTAATAACTTCAAAGGATAGTTCGCTCAAAAGTCACCTACATTTTGGATGGCCTGAGGATGAGTAAATTAACAGCAAGCTCAACTATCCCTTCAAGGACCTCAGCACCGCCATGTTTGGATAAAGCTCTTTAAACAAACCAATCCATTTTGGCCTTGAAGACTCGCATATGCCTCTCTCAGACTCAACCTCTTGCCCTTTCATAGATTTTATAATTACAGAGCCTTGACAGTCGGCAAGATCTTAGCACCATGTATGACCTGTGCGTGTTCTTTTCATGTTGTACATTATGTGCATGACTCATGATTTAGCTGCGTTTTTGTGCACTGTAATCATTAACATATGGTTTTACATCACCAGTAACGCCTGTTTTCACAAGCGCTCCAAGGGATACGACTGTGGAGTCTGGATCAGATGTCCAGATTCCGTGCAGCGCGCAGGGTGAGCCCACACCTATCATCACATGGAGCAAGGTTAGATCCATTAGCTGCCACATTCCCTAACAACTGGCCAATCCATCCATTTCCACCACTTTGGTCCCCATAGGACTATCCTGGTTTTGTGACCAGACTCATTTAAACAATCTCTGGTCCCTGATCTACAGGATGGAGTCCAGATTACAGAGAGTGGGAAGTTTCATATCAGTCCAGATGGCTATCTGGAAGTGCAAGACGTGGGGCTTGCCGATGGGGGACGATATGAGTGTGTAGCCCGCAACTCCATTGGATATTCCTCATCTAGTATGGTGCTAACAGTGCAAGGTAAGAATTGAAGGCTGTAAACACATATTGAGGATTTTGAGGTGGGAGGGTGATCAAATGTAGTGAGGATTGACCATTGAAGAACAAACTTTGGTTAACCACCAATCGGAATAATGCTTTTTGCATTCAAACATTGTTGGATGGAACATAACAAAATGAGTATGGCGATCTAGACACATTTTTTCATGTTGAAATGAACAATTAGTTCATGAAAATAATTTTTGTATAATTTTCTCCAGTCCCACAGGTGAGCAGGGAGGGTGATCCTTTTGTCTCGACGTCTCTTGAAGAGGCCATTCGGAGCATAAACAGTGCAATAGACTCCACCAGGAGGCAGCTCTTTGACGGGTAAGCGTTTGGTGCTACAGGCAAAACATGCCAAGAAAACAATTCCTTCTGCTGTGAGTCACAGTGCCGTAACCCATCAGGAATTTACTGGGACCATTTATGCCTTGGACAAGGGCTGGTCACTGCGGTATGAGTCCTAATTTATCACTGCAAGGGGACTCTGCGCTCTGAGCTTGATGTTAGGGGGTTATTTTGTCTGTCGAGGCCAGTGCCAGCTCACGTTAGCTCACTGAGAGTGTTTGTGTTTCATAACTGGAGAGGACTGCTTCAAAGACAAATGCTTTTGAATGAAGTCTAACTGAGAGATGTTATCATAGTAAAGAGAGACTGCCAAAGATTAGGATTTGGAATTACAAAACTGATGTCATTTTTCCTCACATGACTGTTTTAAATTTTAAATTACAAAGTTAGTTGACATTTTGACTAAGCTTGCCAAGACATTTAAGCATGCTTATTGAATTTATGCAGTCCAAAACAACTGGTCATGGGTGAAAATTAAAAAAAAAAACTGTCAGTGTTTTTGGCACAAATGACCGCAGATATATTGTTATAACGTGGCACCTTCTTAGTTCACAAGAGATAATATGTGAAGTGAAGCCAACTCTCTGAATGATAAAAATGATATTAATGCTGACGGCTTTGATGTTCTTTAGCTTTTGTTTGAATCGACACCAACAGCCTTGGAGCAAATGCTTATTGTTGATTCTGGCAAAACGCTTATTCATTGTTTCATATGGTTCTCTCAAATAACCCTAGTAAACACTAAATTAGTTTGTAGTTATTCTGACATAAATAACTGAATTCAGGTAGGTAGGCTGTTATTTGTAGTCAGCTTTTAAAATGTCACTTATTGACATGTCACTGATCTTTATTCTTTACTTAATATCCTAATGATTTTGGCATAAAAAAAAAATCGATTTTGATCAGTTTTGACAATCCGTGTATCATTCGATCATTCGTTTTTTTATTTAATATTGAAAGTAGAAAAATGAGAAATCGGCTCCTTTTTCGTTTTTTTGTTGTTGTTTTTTCCATTTTTTTTTTTATCATGATACATAGGCCTACTGTGATTTATTCCAAAGTGACTTATGCATTTAACGTCAAATAATCTAAAATGAAGCCTTTTAAAAGACAAGTATTTGCTGTGGTTCATGTCATGCGCCAGAAAGATGCTTAAGGAGACCAAGACGCTAAAAGCAGTGCATTCTGTTGTTCTCTTTATTTTTCAAAGGCATGACATTTTGTAGTTATTTTGAACGTAACCTTACACAAATAAAAATATTAATTTTACCATACGACTATAAATGACAGAGTATTAAGT